GGCCCAATGTATGTGATACAACCTTAAAGAAAGTGTCTTTTCAAATTGGTAGTTGTATGTTGGCCCAACGTTGGTCCGATGTTTGTAGTACATCCGTAAAGAATGTGTCAAATAAAGTTGGTAGTGGTATGTTGGCCCAAGGTTGGCCCAATGTTTGTAGTACACCCTTACAGAAAGTATCTTATCAAGTTGGTAGTAGTATGGTGGCCCAACGTTGGTCCAAGGAATGTAATACACACTTAAAGAACATGTCTTATCAAGTTGGTAGTAGTATGTTGGCCCAATGTTGGCCCAATGTTTGTAATACACCTTAAAGAAAATGTCTTATCAGGTTGGTGATAGAATGTTGGCCCAACGTTGGCCCGATGTTAACAAGATTGTTACTTTGTTTAGGTGTTTCAAAGATAGGATATTTATATTGGGCCAACGTTGGTCCAATTATTATACTGCCAACTAAACGATGGTATCAATTTTATAATTAGCTGCTGAACTTTACGTTGGGATAACGTTGGTTCCAAATATAAATTTAGATGCACATTCTGAAATAATTAAGAGGATATTCTATGTCAATGCTTTTCACTGGACGATTGCTTTTGTTCAGATATGATATTTTCAACATTTTGATTTTGAACCTAAGTGATCACAGCACCAAAGAGTGTTTTATTTTATTTTTTGAATTGTGTGCATGCTTATTTATTTGTAATAAAACGCTTAAAATTATGATTTTTTCATGAGCGTTGTATTCATGAGAATTTAGAGAAGACTGAATAAATGTTAGTTAAAAGTTCCCAGGAACAGGATGTGAATCCCAGATAGCAGAACATCGTTGTTCCAATCTTACATTATGTTTGTATTATCGCTGTTGGGTTACCTTTATTGGGCCAACAATGGTCCAACCTGGAATATTGATAGTTGGTTATGTATAATGTGGCCAATGTCGGGTTAACTGTTGGCGTTATGTCATAAAACTATTATCGTGAGAGAAAATATTGTTGGGAGATTGGCATCGGCCCCAAGTTGGCCCAATATACCATGAATCTGGCTGAGCATTATGTGTAGACAACATCCGGGCTACTTATAATATCCGCGCCATTTTTAATCTGACACGAGCGTAATGAGACTGATGCCTTGCAAATCTTCATCCACTTTGTAAGTATTTATAATATGTTTGCTTCGACACAGCTTTATTAACTTTTATAGTTTAAACGACATCGTGTGCAAATCTGTGTGAATCAGTGCAGAGGCCAGGTGCTGTTGAGTCAACACTGTCCCAGATAGTATGGTAACATTGGGCCAACGTTGGGCCAGTGTTATCGGTTACATTGGGCCAATGTTGGCAAATGACATTGGCCCAATGTAAGTTTGCTTATCGGCCCAATGGTGGCCCGATATGTTGTGCCAACGTTTGCCCAATGTAAAGTGTTTTTGCTACAGATATAGGCCCAACCTTGCGACAACATTGTCCAATTGAATGCGACATTGGGCCAATCTTGGCCCAACGTCAACAAGAACATTGGGCCGATGTTGACAAATGACGTTGGCCCAGTGTCATTTTGCTCATTGGGCCAATGTTGGCCCGATATATTGGACCAACATTGGGCCATTGTGTATAAACATTTAATTGTTACAAATCTGTATATTAACAAATCCAACAGTCTCTAAAATCAGAAATAAATCTACCACCAATCTTTCTTGAATATACAAGTTAGCTAATTCTAAATTTACAAGGCTTGTTAAAATTCTTAAAATTTATCAAAACAAAATAAATTATCAGTGATTAAATTTATTGTTTCTAGACAAGAAAAATAAATGAAAGTATAAAATAACAAATGTGATTTGATACAGTTAAAACAATAAATAATTTGCCCCTTATTCAGATTGCAATTAGTAGAATAAATTTCCGAAGTCTACCATTCATTTTACTTATATACACTTAAAGTCGAGCACAATGTCAAACATGTTGAAAATGTTGAACATGTTGAAGTTAAAACAAAATTAATTCAGTACTAAAGCATAAATTGGGTTCTTTCATTTAAAATGTGTTCAGTGTACCGACAATTTTTTTAAACATGTATTTTATTTCGAATAATGTTTTATTTGGGGCAACATTGAATCAGTGTGATGATGAAGATCAAGGGTAGAAATTTTATGCATAAATGCCTTCATCACGCAAGCTAATCGCTTAATCACACCATGAAACAAAAAAGACGGTTATTCCTCAATTGACAGCTTAAAAATATAGTGATATACAAGTCTTGTAAATTTAATTGTATGTTTACTCTTTACTGAGAAAAGTAACAAATGTACTAAATACAATTTTAGTGCTACTGGGGATTCTAAAAAGACATTGAGAACACAATCAAAGAATGGCTAAGGTATGTCAAGGACAGGGATAAGGGAGGAAGAAACGGACAGATAAGAAAAGAAGGGGAGGAGACTCTGGAGAGAGAGAGGAGAGGAGACTTAGGAGAGGGATCAGATGGAAAGTGGCAATGCCTAACTTTTTTCTGTTATATACTGTGACATACCTGTAGCTCTCTCCTTTTCTGTGTCTGTTTGTCGGTAACAAACATGATGCAGATGTCAGAAACATTTTTTTGTGTAAGTAAACAAAATTGCGGGATTCATTTTAGTATTATGTTAAGAACAGGAAGGCTTTGTTTATTTCTTAGACGTGCTTATATATACCTGCAATTTACTGACCTTGTGCATAAATTTACATCACAGAGGGATTATACATTCATGTAACCCTACATGTTTCGCATCAAGTGAGCATCAACTTTCTGTTCTTTATTAAGGTTTTCTTCATGCACTGAGCAATAAAATATTAGTATGTTATAATGTATTTTTTTCTGATTTCTTTTTCCTCAGTTTTTTAAATCAATGTAGACCTACTTACAATGCAATACTTGTTGATGGTAATTCTATGAGATATTGTGAATATGTATTAAACTATTAATCTAGCATATATAGTATTAAAGGGCTTTTACCATTAAACTGTACTACAAAACTACTATAACCCTATTATATATAGTTTGTTATTCAATTTTGAGTACAAATGGCCAACCAGTGAAGAAAAATGTTTTGTCCTGATGGAGAGCCAATAAGATACAAACCAACGTTGGCCCAAAAACGGTGTTTGCCTAATATTGAAAGAATAAGTGGCCCGATGTTGGCTCAATAATATCCGTTCGTTGGTCCAACAATAAGCCAACAAGTTGGTCTGATTAAGGGCCGATGAGCAAATTACCGTTGGCCCAACATTAATTGCTTACAATGGCCCAAATGTACAAAAATGACGTTTGCCCAACATTGAAAGAATACCTTGGCCCAACAGTGGCCCGATATTAACTGTTACATTGGCCCAACAACAAGCCAACAAGTTGGTTTGATTAAGGGCCGATGAGCAAATTACCGATGGCCCAATGTTGAATGCATACGGTGGCTCAACATAAGGAGCATTGTTGGCCCAACAAAGGTCCAATGACATCCTGCTATCTGGGTTGATGGTCTTCCTGAATGTTTGTCGTCGGGAACACGTGTTCTACCACTATTAAACTTGCTTATCCATCTGTAAACTGTCTTTTTTGAAATAACAGACCCACCATATATCCGAACAATTTCTTCATATAATTATTTCATTTCGTTCTATACCAATGACACAACGAGCAATAATATACCTTCTTATTTCAAGTGACTTCAGACTTCGTGTTTTACCCATAATTGATGTCCAGTGTCTTCGGGTAGGTCAGTTGCAAACGTAAGTGTGTGTTTCAGAGTGCATGGACTTGTTCCAAATTTTGACACAATATCAAAATAAGATATATTCATTCATGGATGACCAGATACCGAATCGACTGATCTAATTTTTATTGAAAACCATTAGAGACAAAAAATATTGAACGCCCCTCGTGTGGGGATCCGGGTTAGTATAGGCCCTCTGCAGTACCCCCTTGCTTGTCTTAAAAAGCGACTAAATGGGGCGGTCCTTCGGATGCAGATGAGACCGTATAAACCGAGGCCCCGTGTCACAGCAGGTGTGGCACAATCTCAAACGCCGTAAGTGCCAAGCATAGGCCTTCACCGGTAATGTTGACGTCTCTATATCAGTGAAATATTCTGGAGAGGGACGTTAAACAGTATACAATACAATTTTCGTTATACTCATAATTTTCAAATATCTTTGACTGTATGATACAGATATCTTAAAAGAAACACATGATTTTAACTCATTATGTGACTTTAATTAAAATTTATTGGTTTACTGACTCTACATTTTTTATAGCATCATGTACGTAACACATCTAACAAACAAATCTAATTATATCCTCATACATTTAAGAGAGTGGTTAGGTTATAATTAACTTTACTACATATTTATCACATTACTTTATCTTTACATTAATCTTCGATGTCAATGAAAGTTTCAAACTTCAAACAAAGTTATGATGTAGTTTATTAGACAGCAAATACCTTCCAAAAAGTGGTAACCCTAATTTTAGAAAGCATATAGTTCTCTTTAATTTGTCAGTAGAATATTTCTACTCTTCTATGAATAAATTTCAGAATATTTATATTACAATAGTTTCACTAATATTTCATATATTTACATCATGTATTTTAGTATAGATATTTTAGTTCGAAATTATTTTCTAACCTCTCTGGATAAGTACAACATATAATGGACGACAAATCCCATACAAGTATTTTACAAGGTGTTGTATGCGGTTTATAAAGTTCACCAACTTTCGACTGGTTTTATACCTCAGGCAAAAGATCTGCATGGCTCTCTTTACAATTTCAAAATCTATATAACTTCAAAATAAGAGAAAAAATATTACCCGGGTATTTATCTACAACAATTTAAAATGTGATAATGTAGTTTAAAAGTTTTATTTCCCCCAAATATAGTGTGCATATAAAAACAATTCAAATTAAAAAGATCCCCATAGATTTAAATTCACAATGCATATGAACAAATGTAGATTTAAAAAAGAGTATCAGCTTTGAACAGTGTAGACAGCACATTTCTTTTCATCAGCAATGAAAACGTCATCATATACTTGATTGAAAAAAATTAAAATTGCTCCGGGACAATCTGATATAAAACATCGACTACTACTACCGTCATGCAAAATTTGAAGAACTTCGTTATTTTGCAGATGAAGATGTGCTTGGGCTGGTTCTTCACAATTTACGCAATTTCCATAGACATTTGTTTCACAATAATTACAAACAGCGCCTGCTGGAAACAGAGAATAATCATGTTTTCCGTCTTTATAACGATCATAATAACAAGAATGATCTGCAACAAACTTTTCGCAGCTTGGATATTTCCAACACAATGTGTATACATTATTTTGTGCATCAAATGACAAACATTGAAGTTTCTCTGCGTCTTTCTGTTGAAATCGAAATATTTCCTCTCCAGTGATTGAGAAACAAATAACCTCATTTTTCCCTGCCAGAATAGCAAGTCGGTCAAAGGTCTTCGACAGAGCCATTACAGGGCACATTTGTGGATTCTCGAAGATGATCGTGTTAATAACTGATAAAACAGGCGAGAATGAAAAGATAGTCACATGGGTTTTTGATGCTGTTACGATTCTATTTTGTTCCTCATCTACACCAAAAACGCAAAAATCTTGCTTCAAATCTATTTCTCTGACACACTTAGCACTGACTGATTTTTTCAAGGTTTTTATCTTAAACTTCTGAATTTTGGACAAGCAGCTGACGTACATAGTATCTCTGGTTAGTCCAGAACTTAACAAGGGTTTTCCCGCCATTTCCAATGGAAGATTACATGGCATTGAAGTTCCATCGGATGGGTTGTAGAATAGCAGAGAATTTGACGAAGAGATCATCGCAAGTGTTTCATTGTTTACAAATATTACTTGTTGTGCTGGAGTAGGGAGTTTAAATTCTGATTTCTTCACTGCTTTTAAAGATAACGGTTTTTGTAAGTTCTCAAAACTTGCTGCAGTCTTGTCTTTATCCATGTTCTCAAAGATCGGGAAGGCTGAAAAATACTTTGAAAAATTCCAAATATTCCCTGATGGTCTTGTTGGAAACTTGACCTCGTTTATTTTATCATGCTCATAAATCTGTTTCAGTATTGTTGTGTGATCATGTTCATAATCATACTCTTCATCCTCTGAATTTCTGGTTTTGTAATGTTCAAACTGTTCATCTACATCTCTTAATATCTTTAATGAGCACAGAAACGTTTGCTTACTTGAGTCCCTTTTTCGAACTGCAGAAAGAAGGGTTCTTCCGTTTTTGACAGTTAATAGATACTGCTTCATGTCCAAAATGCATTGTTTGAGTTTCTCTTCAATATCTTCATGCTTCTTCAAGAAGGATTTTTCAAACTGTTGCTGTAAGTCATCAAGTTTAGTTTTGATATTTGCAATTTCTGTGGATACATTTTTCAGAATTTCTTCCTTTTTGGCATTGTTGCGCAATATTTCATTTTCTTTATGTTCTGCAGTTTCTTCTATAATCTTTGCGAGTTTTGAAAGAGCGTCAATATTCCATTCCACAACTGAATTCGGCATATTTTTAGAAACTTCGTCCAAAGCTTCCACACGTTCGCAATGTCTATGCTGCGTTGCAAAGCAAACGCTACAGCAAAGAGTTTCGTGATCCAAACAAAAAACTTCTACATATTTGCCTTGATGCAAATGGCAGGGTTCGTCTAGTTCCGGGAAATTAAACTGGTCGTCTTTCCCATCAAGAGGTAACGTTAAAATTTTGTGTTTCCGAAGTTGAGCAACTATCTGATGGAGATGCTTACAGGATGCACATATAGCCTCTGCACAGTCATGGCACCAGGACTCCGCCTTACTTTCCTTGTTATCACGTATACAAATGGCACATAATTTATCTTTTTCTTTATCATTCGATTCCATTAAGGAGTTGATCAATATGTCGGTAGGAAAATGCTTTGCCCAATCATCTACGGAAATCCCTGGTTCCGGTCGACCTGTCACTCGACGGCATAACGGGCATTCAAAATCAAACTTCTCTGGATCTTTCCCAATGGCAGTCCTTGATATATAGGTCTGCAGGCATTGTTCACAAAAATTATGTAAACAAGGGAGGCATTTTGGTCTGGTTATTTTTTCCAAACAAACTGGACAACTGTAGACGGGACTTTTTTCTTTACATGTACCTTCGGCCATCATAATCTTTAGGCTTACCTTTGAAAGGGCGTTTATTTGTCGACGAAATGCATTGTGGTAGTTTCGGTTTGGGTCGCAATAGATAAATTATATATGAAAGCACATTTTGATTAAAAAATGTAAAAAGCATTAAACATGCATTGTCAGGAACATTTCACCTTTTTTCATTTATGCAAATACAAAATTAAATATTAATTATTTTAAATAATTTGTCGTTCAATATCAAGGAGAAAACATAGAAATGGAAAATTAAATATTAATAAAGAATGATTTTTATTAATAAACTGGTATAACCCAGATAGGAGCAGTTTACGCTAATTTACGCCTAAATTGCACATGAATGTTCATAAGGTAACAGTAACTTAGGTGTTATATGATACTAAAACTGTAAAGTTCAGTTATTTCAGAAGATGCAATCGCTACACAGAAATATTTTAAACTATATGTGTTCAATGATTCTATTAATCTCTTATATTCACTCGAAATTGAAATCACAGAATGCTTAAGATATTCAATGTGTAAGGCCATATATATTTTGTACCTATAATAAATGAACAGTCCGATATATATTTTCCGGCATGGGCAGTGGTGGATTTAAGGGGGTGCACCCGGCGCGCGCCCCCCTAAAATTGTCAAAGTTAATGTAAATCACAGTTTAGTCTAGACAATGTAAATATGTATACTTGGTAGACCTCATTTTTACCCTACTAAATCTCTAGAATCCATGAGCTTCCGGGGGCTTCGCCCCCTGCCCCCCCCCCCCATGGCTTTGCCCTGGACATACTGGGGGCCTCAGACCCCTTGCCTACTTTTGGCGCCCCCTCTAACCTCAATTCCTGGATCCGCGCCTGATGGGAGCATTTCGAAGATGTTATCAAATAAAAATGTTCCACAAAAAAAATTTCGATCATTTTTACATATTGCACTTATCATTTTACATTTATTTCTATGGGCAGTGCATTGTGGCAACGCACTTTGAAAAAATTACGCAGCTTTGAAAAAAAATTTCAAAGTGCGTTAAAATTGGGACAAAATCAACGCACTTTGAAAAAAAATTTTCAAAGTGCGTTAGATCTGGGACCAACTCAACGCACTTTGAAATTTTTTTTCAAAGTGCGTTAAGAGTCAACATCAATATATTTCACCACGGAGACACTTAACGCACTTTGAAAAAAAAATCATATTTTAGTCATGGAAAGATTTTATTTGTTATTTATCTTTCAAAAAACTAAGCCTTATCCTAACCTTGAAAATGAATTTATTCTACTCCCGTCGAAAAGAGGAGAAGACGGGTATAAGATCCATAAGTCCAAATCTTTATCTTTTCAATACATAGGTGTCGGTAACAAACGGGGGAGGGGAGCAATAAACCTAAAAAGGGTACGCTGCATTTTCACTGCTATACGATGTATATATCTATCCAAAATAAGTGGGGGGGGCTTAGCCCCCCATCCCCTCCCCTGGCCCTTCGCCCAGTCTCGATGTCTATGCTATACTCAAAGCATTCATATAATTATGTATTTACCTAACTGGTATGACGTTGAATTCTATCAATAATAAATGAGTTAATTTAAACAGATGAAAACTAGAAATTTTTAAGTACAGTAAAACATTTGAGAGAGAAAGAATTTTCATAGTTTTGAACAATCAAATTGGCCCCTTTTTATTATGATAAATGCTAAGTTGCTTTAAGCTGTCCTATGTTAGTGCCCCATATACACCTTTACATCTACTTATCAAAGACTAGAATTAAAAAAAAAAAGAAACGAATAATGAACTTAAACAATAGTCACTCTTTTTTTCAAGACCCTTTAATTTTCCCTTTTATTTTATCAAAACCTTAAATATTTAAAACGTCAATATCTCAGGTCCTACAGTGACTTTATCATAAAAAAAGTTATCAAACCAGGATATTGATCAATCTTTACATTTTTTTTCAAAGTGCGTTAATATGGTCGATATTAACGCACTTTGAAAAAAAAAATCAAAGTGCGTTAGCTTGGTCCCAAATTGTAACGCACTTTGAAAAATTTTTCCAAAGTGCATAATTTTTCAAAGTGCGTTGTAACAGTGCATGCTTT